CTTGACAGCCTAGGCCAGGGGTAGGCAACCTTGGCTCTTTTATGACTTGTGGACTTCAACTCCCAGAATTCCTGAGCCAGCCATGCTGAGGAGAAAGGGAGAGGTTTCCATGCTGAGCCATGCCAGCTCAGGAATTCCGGGAGTTGAAGTCCACGAGTCACAAAAGAGCCACGGTTGTCTACCCCTGGCCTAGGCACCCGTGCAAATCCTGCATTTTCATTTGATCTGCTCCTCACATCCAAACCGCTCCCCTGCAAGATGCTGTTTTAACCCTCTCCAGTCTCAAAAGATTTTAAGTCAGTTTCCTCAACCCACCAAGCCCAGTTTAAGACAGAAAAAGATAGTCCTTGATTTACGACCACAATAGAGCTCCAAATTTTACGACCACAATAGAGCTCCAAATTATGACCACAATAGAGCTAAGCCAGGCAGTTGTTAAGTGAGCTTTGCCCCATTTTACGACCTTTCTTCTCACAGTTGTTAAATGAATCACTGCACTTTTCAAGCGAGTAACTCAGTTGGTAAGTGAACCTGGCTTCCCCCCTTGATTTTGCTTGTCAGAAGGTTGCAAGAGGTGATCATGTGATCCCGGAGCAATGCAACCGTCGTAAGTACGTGCCAGTTGCTAAGCCTCTGAATTTTGATCACGTGACCGTGGGGTTGCTGCAACGGTCCTACTGTAAGTGTGAAAAACGGTCCTAAGTCACTTTTTTTCAGTGCCGTTGTAACTTAGAACGGTCACTAAAGGAACTCTTGTAAGTTGAGGACTATCTGTAGTATGTTGACATGACATGCAATGCTCCAAGCAGCCCCACGTTGTCTTCTAAAGATGGTTTGCTTCCGCAAGATGCAAGGAATAGAATAGAATAGAATAGAATAGAATAGAATAACAGAGTTGGAAGGGACCTTGGAGGTCATCTAGTCCAACCCCCTGCTCAGGCAGGAAACCCTATACAGTTTCGGACAAATGGCTGTCCAGTTTCTTCTTAAAAACTTCCAGTGTTGGAGCATTCACCACTTCTGGAGGCAGGTTGTTCCACTGGTTAATTGTTCTAATTGTCAGGAAGTTTCTCCTTAGTTCTAGGTTGCTTCATTCCGTGATTACTTTCCATCCGTTGCTTCTTGTCCTGCCTTCAGGCGCTTTGGAGAATAGCTTGACTCCCTCTTCTTTGTGGTAGCCCCTGGGATACTGGAAGACTGCTATCATGTCCCCCCTCGTCCTTCTCTTCATTAAACTAGACATACCCAATTCCAGCAACCGTTCTTTATATGTTTTATCCTCCGGCTAAATCCGGCTGCAACACAAGCCCCATTCAGCCCCGTCTGATGCAAGGTGCAAAGCCGCCCTTTTAAAGCCCAAAGGGGCTTTTCCTTCCATCCACCCTTTGGAGTACACGCAAGAGCTGCGTTCCCACGACGCGCTCTTCCAGGCCAGACTCTGCAAACTGCACGTCAGAAGCCGCAACCCCGGGAACTCCAAGTCCCCGCTTTTCCGCAGCCTGCACAGTCGAGCGCGATCCGGCTTTGAGAACGGATTTCAGACGGAGCAGCCGCCGGGTCTGGAGCCAAGCCCCGCCCGGGAGGCGGTCGGCCAGGCGGGGCCGGAAGACGCGCTGGAGACCCGGGCTTGGAGCGGCCATGCCGAAGCCGGCTGGCGAGGGCCGCTGCGTGGTTTGCGGGCGAGAGGGGCGCCAGGCCGCCAAGTACCGCTGTCCGGGCTGCCGGGAGAGATAGTGAGTACCAGGGCGCGCTCTGCTTATGCTCAGATGCCGCTTGGGCGAGGGGGAGGGGCTTCCTGCCGCTCTCAGGGTCTGGCATTTGCAGGGGGGG